TTTTTTTCTTATTAATTCTTTCTATGACCCCTGAAGACATTTAGATTCTGAAAGGACATTTGTCTCTTCTTCCCTTATTAGAATGTAAACACTTCATCATCATTTAGCACCCTCCCCAAGTTGCTCAAATATATTAATGTTTCCTAGGTTTCTTTTGGCTCTCATGTTTGCATTTAAAAGTTTCTACTTAGCTCTGGTTTTTTCATCAAGAATGCTTGACAGTCCTCTATGTCATTTAAAGTCCATTTCCCACCCCCATCTCTGTAAAATTATACTCAGTTGTAGAGGGTCAGATATTACTGGCTCTGAGCCTTTTTTTTTTTTTGCTTCTTAGACTATCGTATTCCAAGATATTCTCACATTTACAGTAGTTGCTACCAAATCTTCTATAATCCTGACTATAGTTTCTTGATACTTCAACACTTTCTTTTTGGATGCTTCCAGTATATTTCCTTTGACCTAGAAGATCTGGATTTTGGCTATGATATCCCTGGAAGTTTTCAATTTGAGATTTCTTTTAGGAGGTGATAAGTGGATTCTTTCTATTTTGACTTTCCCCTCTATTAATAACCCATGTGGTCAGTTAGCATTTATGATTTCTCAACATATGATACCCAGGGTGTTTTTTTCCCATCACACTGCCACTGGCTTCTACTTCCCCTGGTATGTCTACTCTCATAGATCTGGGAGGGTTAATTCCCCTCTGGATTGTCAGAGTGCTATACTCTTCACAGACACCTGGAATTTCCTTGGTTATAACATTGTGGTCTTCAGGAATTTTTGGAGTGTCCCCAGATTGAGCTCTGCAGACTTCTAAACATCCTTGGAGCTTTCCCATCAAAGCAGGTGAACAGGCTGGAATCTTGTCAGTACTCTGACTACAGATGCTGCTAGAGAAGAAAACAAACACAATAAAGGAAGAGTATAAGTCAAGAGATGCCCAAGAACTAAATTTAAAATTTATAAACTAAAATTTAAAATTTAATGATTCTCAAATTATTTCTCCTAAATATTTTCTTTTTTTTCAATCTTTTGATTCTGTCCTAATATTTCTTGGACCTTGGAATCATTGCATTCTTTTTGCTCCATCTTCATTTTCAAAGAGTCTGATATTTGGCTAATACTTTCTTTTTCAAACTACCTATTCTCCTTCCTATTCTTTCTTCTAGAATTCTTATTTCGCTTATCATTTAATTTTTTTTATCTCTTACCTCATTTTTTCCAGTTACTCTTGGAGTCCTTATGACCAAGCCATTCTCCCACCTCCCACTTGAAATTCTGTTTGTATTTGTTGTGGAGTTCTTCTCATCTTTTAAATTTAGTTCTTGGGCATCTCTTGACTTATACTCTTCCTTTATTGTGTTTGTTTTCTTCTCTAGCAGCATCTGCAGTCAGAGTGCTGACAAGATTCCAGCCTGTTCACCTGCTTTGATGGGAAAGCTCCAAGGATGTTTAGAAGTCTGCAGAGCTCAATCTGGGGACACTCCAAAAATTCCTGAAGACCACAATGTGGTCTTCCAGGTGTCTGTGAAGAGGATAGCACTCTGACAATCCAGAGGGGAATTAACCCTCCCAGATCTATGAGAGTAGACATACCAGGGGAAGTAGAAGCCAGTGGCAAGAAACCAGGAGACTGAGGTCAGAACCAAACAGGGCCTTACTACCCAAGAGTGCAGGATAGTGTAGAGCCTGGTTATGGCACAGTATCCTGAACCAGGAACTGAGGCTGGAGATGAGAAGAAAGAGAAGAAAACAAACACAATGTTGTTCTTTTTCAAGATAAGTGGAGATGTCCTCATGGTTTGGGATATTGTGCCATGGCTGGACTTTGCACTATCTTGCACTCTTTGACAGGATGGTAAGGTCCTGTTTGATCCTGACCTCAGTTTCCTAGGTTCTTTTCACTGGCTTCTACCTCCCTAAATAGAATTGTTCATTTCCATTATAGAGACTGAAGGTGTCTATACTTTCTATACAGATTAAGTGAAGGAGGAAACAGTCATTATCTAGTACATTTATGCTGCGGAGACATCCAGTCAAACTCCTATGTCACTTATGTTCTATCCCTCATTGTTTTGCATTTAATTTACCATAAATTACATGTTGTTTTCTTTATTCATAACCTCTATCCTTATCTCCCTTACTAGATTGTAAGCTTCTTGAAGGAAAGGACCAAGTCTTCTATTGTAGTCCAAAAGGACCTGGTACAGTGCATATCGTAGGTGCCATATAGGTGCTAGTTGATTCATTGGTAACTCAGGCTAATCTCTGTCTTCTTCCTTTCTTTAGTATCAGGGGACTGATACGAGAGGGGAAATCCATTAACTTCTCAGTCTACTTTTCCACTGTAGGTACATACATAGACCCATCCATGCTCAGTAGGCTTTAAAAGCCAATAAGCCTAGTAACCCAGGTAAGAGCAGAACAATTTGGGCAGAAATGAGGTGGTTGGCAACCCTTTGCTATTGTCTCTCCCTCCAGTCATCCCTGTATTACATTTACTTTGTGGAGAAAAGAGAAATAAGAAAGCAATAACAGTTCTCAAAGGGCTTATAGAAGGTTTTGAGGTAGACTCTGGAGAGGACCTTGGCTTTAACCAAACAGGATAGTTATAAGTCCCTGTACATAGACTGGTTTGGTGATTTCAAAGTCCCAGCTGAGAGCCCATAAAATATCATTGCCCCTGCTCAATGTGTTTCTTCCATATAAATGTCCAAACCTTGGGCCCCTAGGGAAACCATCATAATGCACTTTCACTGTCTGTAGCTTTGATCTTTCCACTGTAGTAAAGGTATAGTCAGACAAGTTCTTGCTCCTATGTTAGACTGTCAAATTACTTCTCATTCTCCAGGGGCTTTCAGGAGCTTTTGATCATGTGGTTTTTTTTTGTTTTTGTTTTTGTTTTTTTTTGCCTGTTTAATTAGTTTGGTTCAGTGGAAATAATACTGGATTTGGAATCAGGCAGAATTCAAATCCTGATTTTGCTATTTATGACATATGAGACCTTGGCTGAGTCACTTAATTTCTCTGAGCCTCAGTTTCCTTATTTGTAAAATAAGTTTGGATAAGATGACCTCCAAAGTCCCTTTCAATTCTTAAATATATGATCCTAAGTGTGATGAGAAAAGCCTCAAGATGGTGGTCAGGAAGGATATTAACCTTCTCAATTGACAAATTTTCTTGGAGACAGGTATGCAAGAAGGAGAAAACATAGGTGTGAAGATAAAAATGTTACCTTCTTTTTACCAGTCTCCTTTGAAGAAGCTGTTCTCTGTTCACTCACTTCCATCTGTCCTAAGTTTTGTTCAATTTGATTTTTTTTTTACTTTGCAAACAAAGAAGTAATGAGCTTTTCCTTTCACTTCCTTTCTTTTGTTGACCTGACATCACATTGAGAAGAAGGATGAAGGTCCCACTATGTAAACATCAGCCCTTCTCTCTGTGCCATAGAAAGGTAGGGGATTGGTTGGGAGTCAAAGGGGTTTGGAGGCGGAGGGATGCCAACTATTGGTTTTGTTTCTCATTTCTTCCTGTTCAGGGTTTCTTTTTGTCTCTTTCTCTGCCTACCAGAGGATACTATAATCAGTTATCAGCCAGTTTGAGGGAGAGCTTTAAGTAGTCCCAGGACTCCACATCTCTTTCTGCTTAAGGGAATAAAAGTTGTGACATGGTAGAACAGGGGTGGAATAAAGGCAATCTGGGGCTGCTGTTTGTTCATCTGAGCCATTTTGAGTGGATGGAGGTTATTTAGGAGTTTGGTGGATGGAAGATAAGCCCAAAGATATAATTGTGTGCTGCCACTGGGAATCCATGGGCTGGCATTTCCTCTTTAGTTATCTGAATTGTAAATGACAATAGAGCCCTTTCAATTGCTATCAAGGATGTTGATTGGGGCCAACCCCAATTCTGCAAGTTAAGAAGAGGAGGCACCCAGGCACAGGGCAAAGAGTGGTGGATTTGGGACCCAGGGGACCTACGTTCAAATCTTGGCTTTCGACAGTGTGACGTTGGGCAAGTGACTTCAACTCTCTGGACCTTTCCATCACCTGTAAAATGAGGTGGGTTGGACAAGATGACATCTAAGATCTCTTCCAGCTCTAAATCTATGATCCCATGATGTTAGAAAAGTTAATAGAAAGGGTGGGCGGGGAGCATGTGATGGGTTCACAGCCCGTGGTCCCAGAACTTGTTATATACCAATTGCCTTTTTCAGCGACCACCTACCTGCAGCTGATCTGTCTTTCACACACACGGGATTCGCGAGGAGCCGGGAAAGCATGAAGAAGATAATCAAATACAGGCTATGTATAAATGGGCTTTAGCTTTCTAAAACCTTCATCTTTTCTCTCTCCAAAGGGGCCAAATGGGGGTGGGGGAGGTAGCTGGAGCACACGAGAAGGGGAGGGGGCGGCGGTGATTGTGTGGTGTGTGAGTGTGGCCGGGTTGGGGGGGGGCGGGCGCGAGTGTCTTACATAACCCTTCTGTCCTCCTCCCTTCTTCGGTTCTCTTGCAACGTGGGGTAGGAAAGAGGGAGCTGAAGGGATGCAGGTCAGGCTGTAGCTATGGGTTGATGCCTTCTTTCGGAGGTGAGGGTTGGGAGGAGGAGGGTGAGAAGACAGGAGGAGGTGAAGGTCAGTGGGTGTGTGGCGCCGGATCCACACCCCCCTTCCCTCCCCTGTCCCCTCCTTCCCTTCCTCTCTGTTCCCCTCTGACGTCTGGAGCTGGCAGCTTGGCCGGTTCCGCATTCCTGACCCCTCCCCGCCGCCCAGGGGCCGCTATATAACCGGGGCTGATGCAACCCATCCCGCCGCCCGCCACAGCCTGCGGGAGGGACGCACCGGGGCAGCGCAGCGACGGGGGGGTGGTGGCAGCAGCCGAGGCGGCGGAGGCTGCAGAGGCAGCGGCGGCGGCTGCAGAGGCAGCGGGGGAGGCAGCGGCTGCTGGCCAGGCGCCGCGGCGGCTCCCGGGACAGGACGGGCCTGGGCACGGGAACGGAGCTCTGGAGCCGGGCGGTAGCGGGGCTCGGCGTGCGGCCGTCCTCCGCCTGCTCCTGCAGCCCTGCGCGGGGGGCGCCGCCTCCGCTTCCTCCCTCTGCACGGTGGGTACAAGGGACGCGCGCTTCGTGGCCTCCCCCCTCCCCCCGCTCCGGGGGGAAGCCCCCTGCAGACCTGGGCACCTGGGACACCCTCCTCCACCCCCCGGGCGCAGCGCCCTGCTCACCCTGAGCCTCCCTCCTTGGGCGGAGCTCCCTGCGCACCCTGAAACCCCTCCCTGAGTAGAGTTCCTTGAAGACCTGGGACCGGTCCCCAAGGCAAGGTGCTTAAAGCCTCTGAACTCTCTCTCCGGGAGAAGTGGCCCGGGGACCCCCCGCCCCTCGGCATGGCCCTCAGCACGGTGGCCTCTGGACTTCCCTAATGTCCCCTCCCCGGGACTGCTCCTTTTGGCTGGGCTGCCGGATCCCTCTCTCCTGTCGCTCTCTGCCTCCCCACCCAGCTCTTCTTCTTAGTCCACTTGTGGGGAGTTCCTCTGTTCGGGGAGGCGGGGGAAGGCGGGGTGGGTGAAAAGAAAACCGTCCGAAGCTGATGGGACAGTTACCATGGGGCTGGGGACCTGGAGGACCAGGGTCTAGGAAATTGCACTATGAAAGGAAAAGAGAACGAAAATGATCTGAGTCCCGCCCCCTGCCCACTTTCTTGGAGAGGAAGCCCCAGGGAATCCTAAGGAATAGGAGCCCAGACCTCAAGGGATGGAGGTGGGAAGAGTTCAGTAGGAAAGGCATCTTGGGTTAAGATCCAACGGGAAGAGGGCAGCAGGGGATTCCACACAGGCTGTATGGTCTGTGCCCCCATTTTGGCCTGAAAGAGGGGCTGTGGGCTGTGGCCATCCCAACTCCACCCTCCCCCACTTTGGGTTACATAAGGACCTGAGCAGAAACTGGCCTTTCCTCCCCTGGCTGCCCTGTCTGGCCCAGTGCTGGGGCGTCTTCTGATCCATCGGAGTTTGGAAATGGGAGGGGTGGGGTTGTGAGCCAGTCTATAATACACCTGGACCCTTAGATGTTAGTGGCATGTTGATATGACGATGGGAGTGAAGGGAAGGACAATACAAGTTAGAAGACCTTGGGTTTACTTAGAGGATGGAGCCTTTAGGTGGGTGGGAAGTTATTTCCTTCAGTAGGGAAGGAGTTGGAGAAGGTGATGGTGGAGTGGTAAAGTCACTCTCCCCATTTAGTTTCTTTCAGGCTTAACATTGATAGCAGATCTGTCCTCTCTGTGTGCTACACATGCCTGGGATATACCTGTGATGTTGGGTAGTGCCAAGCGAGTTTCCAGAATGTTCCTTAGTACAAGTGTAATCTTCTCGTTCAGATGGGGGAATCTCATTCTGAATGGTATTATGAGACTGTTGTAGATAAGTATGTGACAAACTTTGGCGGAATCTTATGCGAACTGTTTTTAGGTCATCATCAACAGAAAGTGCTGGGAAATACAATATGGGGAGGGGACCCGGGACATTGTCATAATGGAGGCCCTAGTGAAGAATTCTCTGCACAGCCTCTCTACTCCTCTATTTCCCTGAAGCTTTAGGAAACAGGTTTCATTGCTTTCATTTTTCTAACAAATCTGGCTACAAGATAGATCTTCCTTTGCGGGTTTTTAGGGTAGAGTTAAACCCGGAACCAAGTGCATGTGGTATTGATTTTAGAGTATCTAAGAATCCCTGTTGTTGGGTAGCATGGGATCCTTGTAAATGGAGACCCTTGAAAAACAAGCTGGAGTCTGATTACCCCAAGAGAGGTGAAGGTTCTGTCCAGTCATGGAGGGTTGGGGGTGAAAGGTGGATAGCTCCCACTCCTTCTGTTTTCTTTCTGTCATGACACTGCTCCAGAACCCCTTGCATCTGCTGAATCTTCCTAGACAGTTGTTGAAGTCTTGTCTGACGTGAAGGAATAAGGTACTTCTGGAAGTCCTAAGTGTTGGGAGATTGCTTCCTGCTTTTCTCTCCATTGTTAATAAAGTAACCCTCAGGGTGATATGGTGATAGTGCCACCTCTGGCTGTAAGGGTGGCAAAGCCCACTGGGTATGGGTTTAGGGTCCTGTGTGTATGTCTTAACCTTTACAATGACTGCTGCCTGCTATGGATCCCTTCCCCTCCCACCCTTTCCCTTGCTTTTGATGAAATTTGCCCCCCCCCATCTGTTTATAGGATATAGGTACATCTTACTTTTTCAGTCTGCAAAGCTGTACCCACGATTGGAAGACCCAAAGTCTGCTGGCCTTGTAGTGTGGTGGGGCAGCTGGTGTTGCAATGAGGGCTACTTTTCATGCCCAGGTCTCTGTTTTCTGCTCAGCCCTAGTTTGGAAGAGCCCTGAGCCATTGGTCTGCTCTTGGTTCATTCAGCCTAAGTTCATTTGAGCAATCACAGCTAGAGCTGAGGGCAAGTTACATTCTTTCATTCTTTTTTAGCTTTCTGCTTTCGTTTGCTACAGTTTGCTTTTTTCCACGGTAGTGAAATGTGTTTGAAAATGAAGGGGGGAAGGGAAGAAGAGAAAGGAGAGAGGGAGAGAGAGAAAAAGAGCGAGAGAAATACTGTGTGTGTGGGCACACGTGTATGCATGTATGCATGTGTGTAGACATATATATGTAGAGAGAGTGCAACAGGCACATTATTTTTCCATTTTCCTTTAATTAAGGCCCTGTGGAGGTGTGTTTGAAAACAGAGGGTCTCCTATGCCTTTGAGGAGGGTGAGAACACTGTTTTCGCTGGTTCCAGGGCCATATGCAGTGTATGGTGTCCAATGAAACTGGGCCTGGCTTGCTCTGTTGCTTGTCTTGGCAGTCAGTTACATGGCTTGTATTACCAGTCCTGGAACGCAACCACTGCCAAGCTCTGTGTGTGTGTGTGTGTGTGTGTGTGTGTGTGTGTGTGTGTGCATGTGTGTTCGAGCGTGTGTGGTTTGGCCTCTCAGAGCTCAGTAGAGACAAACGCCTCAACAATCCAGGCAAGGAATTTTCAGCTTGTGTTTCTTCATGCTTACATGAACATTTCTAGCCATGGGATGCCTTTGCTAGAGCCCCTGTACTTGGGGATTTTCTCCTGTCTTCTTCCACTGTTGCCTATGGCATTCCAGTTGTTAGACTTAGGCTGATAGAATTTTCTCTCTCAGTGGCCTTTAAAAAATTGCAAATCACTGGCTGACTACATGTTCCACTGTCTTTTGTGTGCACGTGTTACTACAGTCTTTTGATGCTAAGTTCAACAAATATTTTTTGAGCATCTCTTATATAAAAGGTGCTGTGCTGGCTAACAGTGGTAGGATTGGGGTGGTTAGAAAAGACAGCAGGATTAAATCTGTGGCAGTCACTTCCTAGCTTTTCCTTCCTGCCCAGTAGGCTTTGAAGATCTGTGATTTGATTATTGTGGCTATCCCTTCTACCAACCCAGATCAAGGTAGCATTCAGGCAGTGAAAAGGGCAATAGAGGTGGAGTCAGAAAGTTCAAATCCTGGGTTCAAATTCTGCCCCTGCTATTTACTACTGGCATAACTTTGGGCAAGTATATTCACGTCCTGGGGCCTCAACTTCCTCACTTATAAAATGAGGTAGTGGGAATAGATGATCCCTTCTATGGGGATAGCATTCTGTGATGCTATGAGTGATCTCTCTATGCCTTTAAGAGATAGTCTTTATGAGTTATTGTGACCAAAATAGTCATCATCTAGTAGCCAACTTTCTAGGGTTAAGCCATTCCATAAATTGGTTCTTGGATAACAGGCACCAAGTTGTTCTGGATGCTGGTGGCAGGGTCTTCAAGAACCCAGGGTCACCTCCATGTCATCATGTAGCATCAGAGTTATAAAAGAAGACTTGGATTGGAGACCTGCCTCTGTTATAGACTGGCTATGTGACGCTGAGCAAATAACTTAACCCTTCAGTGTCTCCAGACAACACTAAGTCTATGAGTTAGAGACAGCTAGGAGTCATAGCTCTGGACTTGGAATTAGGAAGCCCTAAGTTCAAATCCTGTTGTAGACACTTATTGGCTATGTGACCCTGGACAAGTCACTTAACTTCTCTTAGATTCAGTTTCCTCATCTGTAAAATTGGGATGATAATAGCTCTACGTCCCAGGTATGTCATAAGGATCAAAGAGATCATAAAAGTATGGTGCTTTGCAAACCTTAAAGAACTATAGAAATGCTAATTAATATTATTATTATTATGTTGCAGAGTGTTGCTCAAGCCACTTTTGTAGAGAGAGTTCCTTTGCTGGGAGTTCCCATACCGGTGAAATCACAGGTTCAGTTTCATCTGCCACCCCCTGCCCCCTCCCCTTACCCCACCCCACTAAATCCTCAAATGAGCAGAGATGTCCATGTTTGTCCAGTTACAGTTTGCTTTCATAAGTAGCCCTACAATGAAACTATTGCTTTTTTCTGTAGATTGGGTCAAAGAAGTCCCTCCAGAACCCAGCATTCCCAATTACATTATGCATGGGGCAATTCTAGGAAAACACAGCTTCCTGGACAAAGTTGTATGGCCCAGGTGGCACACTGACCCTCCTATTCCTTTTTCCCCGTGTCAGGGACCAATACCATGAATCTTACATGGATGGAATGACTGAAGGTGCCATCTTTATGCCTGCATTTGGAAGGATTAAAAACTAACCAGAATTATGGAAGGCAGTCCTGTGCTGATGGTACCTCATTTCAAATGAAATGTGAAACTATGGCCCTGTTTGGTGATCAGGAATGATTTAGGGGATCCATACCAAAGGTCCAATATTAGGCCAACTGTCATAAGTTTGCTTTGGGTCATTTGGTCTTCTTTATTCACACTTTCAATTGGGTAACTAGTAGTGCCATTGCATGACTGTTAAAAGAGTTCCATCCTGCCAGTCCTAATATATTTAAGGTGAGAAAGAATTCCCCAGGGGGGCCATTTGTCAGTGGAGCAGGTAGATACCTGCTTGGGAACCAAATTTCAGGACTAAAAAGGGACCTTCAGAACATACCTAAGACTGAATTATATTCCTCATGTAACAGTAATGAAGAAGGCCATTGGGACTGAGGATGATACAGATCTTTGGTCAGGAT